TAATTCACCGACACAAAATTAGCATCGGACTGGTACAGATTTTTATTTTTATTTTTATTAAATTAATATAGATATTTAGATCATTTTACACGTATTATATATAATTTTATAAATATTAAAATTAATGATTATATAAATTTTTAATAGTTATTATATAACCAACTAAAAATTTAAATTTAAAACCATATAAAAAATAAATTTTTTAATCTCAAATTTTTATTATTTGAAGACCGCTTAAATGGTTAAGATTTTTATTCTTTAAACTCTCTTTTGCATCGAAATTACCAATCACTTGAAATGATTCCACAGACATTATCTATTATGTTCCTGGGAATCTAAGAAAATCAGAACATAATTATCTTGAAAAAGGGTGATGGGTGCGCATTGTTTTTACTTTTTACACGCTCGTTTGTCATTTATATGCGTGCGTGGTGACGTCATTAATGCAGTGAGAGAATATTCCAAAAGAATATGTGAACAATCCACGCAACATCAAATCGAATCTTATCGCGAAAAAAGTAGGGATGTTTGTATGACTCGGAAAGCACTGCCTTGCTACATTGAAAAAATTAGTAACGCTTCCAGTTCTTTACGTGGTCATCGTTAAATTACGAGCTCATATGTTGCGTGATTTATGTCGCATGGAGGAGCATATGTTTGTACTGTGATCCCTCTTTGTAATTTAGAGTTTGCTTGTTTCGTGTTTTTTTATAAAAAAATTGATTTTTATTTGATTTTTGATTTATTTTTTTAATATATTCATATCTATGATAATTTTTTAAAAATAAAAAAAATACCATTTTGATATATTTTTAATAAAAAAATAAAATAAAGAAAAATATTGCCGTTCGTTTAGATAGAGTAGAGTGACCTACATCTTGTTCTTGGGATCAATTTTCACCCAACGAAGGCAATCCCTCCCCACTGCGATTACACGGCAATCAGACCCCAGGTAAAAAAAAAACTCATTAGCGCACTGCCATCTAATGCAAGCGCAAGCTTAGAAGGTGTCTGATAGTATGGTTGGTATTGTGTTTTGCTATAATTATAATTTTAATTATTTAATAAATATTTAAAATACAGATTTAAAAGATAAATCTCATTAGAAATTAAGTTTATATCAAAATTACTTCTTTTCAATTTATTTTTGCCCGTCACTATGAAAAAAAAGAAAAACTCAAGGGCTCATCTAATTTCTTATTTGTTTTCTTCACTTTCCGCTCAAATAGAAGTATTTTGTTGGTAATTATCATTATTTTTGGACTACCAAGTAAATTCACCTAATAGTTTATATGGATAGTGTTAAGTGAATTAATTCATGGGTTGCAGTTTTATATATGTGAATAATATTATTTTTTAAAGTTGTGCAGTAAATTGATTTAACTTGTATTATAAATTCAAAAAATAATTTTAAAAAATAAATTAAATTTATTTGTACTGTAATTTTAATTTTATTTTTAATAATATTTTATCTAATTTTATTATATGCTTAAAAAATTATAGAAACTGTAGCTCTTGTTTGATAAATTTTATACATAATGAAATTGCAAATAGTTTAATAGAACAATAAAAAATATTTTATATAAAATATAATTTATTTCATGATATAATAGCAATAGTTAAATTTACAATATTTAAATTAAAAATCATAAATATTAATATATATATTTAAATTATTTTATAACCCCAAATTTAAAAACATTCTTAATCAAACACATTAAATTATTTTTTATTTAATTTCAATTTCAACCACAATTCTAACCAAACATATATTTTTTAAACTAACCTCAATTAAAAATTTTTTATAAAATATTTTTTAAAATTATAATCACAATATCAATTAAGTCAGTCCTGTTGATGGTGACATGGACGGTATTCTTTGTTACAGAGATATGCTTACCTTATTTAATAGGGATGTTTAAACATATACTAGTCAATCACCCCCTCTGCGCGGTGGTTCCTTTCCCCCCCCCACTATATTAAGAAAAATATAAATATACTTAAAATACAATAAAAAATAAAATCCAGAACTGTTGTAATAATATTTACTACAAATATAAGGTTTTACCGTGTTTATCTTCAATGTGATAGACAATGAACATAGACGTTCACTGTAAAATGGGTATGTGTTGTCTCTATAAATGAGGTTTCATCTTAATAAATATCTAGATTTTTAGAGATTTTTTTTTGTCGTGCATGCTGCATGCTAAATATAAAAGCTTTTCGTTCAGTTCTATTTTTTTATATTAAACTTGTGTTCAGCAATTAAAATAAAAAATAGCACAAATATCATTGTAATTATGTCGTGGTTGGAAAGTAATTTCTTTTAAAATAATATTTTTTTAAATAATATTTATTAAAATAAATTATTTCTTGATATTTAATAATATTATAAAAAATAAATTAAAAAAAACTTTTTAGTGTTTAGTTATATCATAAAAATAAATTAAAAATAAATTTTTAATATTTTTTAATTTTATTAAAATAACGAAAAGCAAATCTTACAAGTTAAAAATTCAAATAAGAATAAATTTTTTAAAAAATCTAATTTTATAAATGATCTCAAATAAAATAAATAACAATAAAAATAATAAAGATCAAATTTAATAGATAAAAATTTAAAAGATGATAAAATTAAAATAATAATAATAATTTTATAAATTATTTTAAATAAAATAAATTATGATGATCAAATTTGATAAATAAAAAAATTTAATTAAAAAAATAATATGATAAAAATAAATAAAAATTATAAAAGTAAAAAATATAAAAATAAAATTGAAAAAAATACTCAAAACAAAACATATAATAATAAAAAATTTAAAAACTAAGTTTAATATAATTAATAAATAATATGATATTTTTAGATTTTTTATAATTTTATAAAATAAACATGTTATAGGTATTTGATTAAGATAGGTTAGATGAACAAGAAGTAAATAAAAAAGACTTATTTTCATATAATTATTCTAAAAATAAAATTTTTCTTTCACCTTTACCTATTCACCAACATATATTTGCATGCCTTGTGTTTTGGAGGGAGAGGAAATAATATTATAGATATGACCTTGACCACATGGAATATGGTCCGAGCTCAGTGCTTGCGGCCCAAGCACAGATAAGCTTTACAAACAACAAAAGGAACCAGAAAAGAAAAGCAGAGAATACAAATCGCGGCATGCCACGCCACCAGGAAGCCAGATTTGCCCCGGCCAATCCCTCCCCACAAAAGAATTATATCGGCACTTCGACCCTATCTGAATGGCGTGGCTCAATCTCATTTGATAGATAATTAATCGACCATCCATTCCAGAAGCAGCATACCTCCCCTCTTTCCGGGGCGGGAAAAACTTAGAAAAAGCAACAATTGCGAGGTGGCCAAAACGGCTCCGCTGCCCTCCATTATAAAACTGAAAAAGGCGATTTCCATACCCTCTTTGACCAGTGACCACTACTAGAAAATGGAACAAAACACAGCGAAGCCACCGCCGCCTAGAGTGGCCGTGGTATTGTTCTTGTTGAAGGACGAATCCGTTTTGCTTGGGCGGCGCCGTTCCTCTGTCGGCGACTCCAAGTTCGCCCTCCCCGGTGGCCACCTAGAGTTCGGTGAGTAATAATAACAATAATAAAAAAAAGACCCCTAATTCTAGAACTTAAGTACTATAGCTGATTAAAAACCATCAATTTGTTTGCTCTTTAGGGGAAAGTTTCGAGGAGTGTGCGGCAAGGGAATTGAAGGAGGAAACGGGTCTGGAGATTAACAAAACGGAGCTCCTAACTGTTACAAATAATGTCTTTCTCGAGGAACCAAAGCCGTGCCACTATGTTACTGTTTTTCTTCGAGCAAACTTGGCCAATCCAGAGCAGGTGCCGCAAAATCTCGAGCCTGAGAAATGTTATGGTTGGGATTGGTATGCTTGGGATAATCTGCCAAACCCGTTGTTTTTGCCCCTGGAGAAGATGGTAAAAAGTGGGTTCAACCCATTTCCAGATCACTAGATTTCTTTCTGCTTATGTTTATTTATCCTGTTATAATTAGTCTTATGTTCATCATTTCAACCATTAAGAAGTCAGATTTTAGCAATTACAAGTATATGTACTGTTGATTGCTGGTGAATTTTGAGTTTAATTATAGCTGGGAATGAATTAACCCACCCGCCTCCTCTCTTTCCTTTTCTTCTTCTTTTTGATCGTATTAGTTTTATGTATGAATTGTATCCAAGTTGGATCATTAGATTTGAACCTGATTATTCAATTAAAATCTAATTCGCATTTTATTCATCTTATCCGTACAAATATTCTTAGGCCCAGCCTCTATTAAAATCCCCAAGGTGTTGGGCCATTCAGTTTATTGCCGGGAACTTACGTTGAAGTTTTCAATGCCAAGCTCTTGCATAGCCCAGATGTCCAAACTCTCAAAAGCCTCGTAAAGTCGAGTCCCGGGAATTGTATTGGGCTCAGGCCTTTATTAAATGCAATATATACCATTCCCATTGAAGAAAATGAAGAAAAAGCATTGAATGCAAGCATAGACTGACAGGGGCAACAGCTTGGCAGTCCTGCAGTGAAGATAACAGATTTGAGATTGTAGTAATAACAGATCTGAGATGGTAGTGGTGTAATGGTTTAAAGTGTTTTTTTTTTGTTTAAAAACATGTTAAAATAATTTTTTTATTTTTTAAAAATTATTTTTATATTAATATATTAAAACAATTTGAAAATATAAACAATTTATTTTATTTTATTTTAAATTCAAGAAAAAATAGTTTGTACCACGTCTGGGTGATTCGAAGTATTAAGAATACAATAATATTATTTATTAAAGTGTTTTTTATTTTTAATGCTAATATATTAAAATAATCTAAAAATATAATTTTAAAAAGAAAAATCAAAATTTAGCCAACTACAACGCCAAGTATCTACTGTACCAAACCAGGATTGAGTACAGTTTTGGTGAAAGCAACCTTGTAACCATCGGTTTTACACGTGATGATGTGATTTTTGCACGCAGTGGCCTAACTTTTGTCGCACAGTTTTTTCGGGTTTAAAGTTTTAAACATATGGCATAGCATGTTTTTCTTGAGAACAAAAAAATTATAGATTGCAGCACTGAAGCTCTTTTGCGCGTCGTTTATTTGAACACTTCTAATCTTTCGATTACTGGGAAACTTGGGCTAACAAATCAAATGGCCTCCATTTTCCATGGGCTGGGGGGTCAAAGATCCTTAACAACATCAAACAAGTTTCAGTTCCCATCTTGCAAAACCCTGTCAGCTGGTTCTGCACGATCCTTTTCTCAACTGTCTTCAATACTTCATCCTCCAACAAGCTTTGGTGACCGAAATATTTTCAAGAAACAAGTGAACGGAGAAAGCAAGAGGGTCGGTCATTCGAGACCTGTCATTTGCGGCGTGGAAAAGGAGGCTGGAAGTGTGGAGGCACCAGCGCCAAGAGTTGGGGTAGTGGTGTTCGTTTTGAAGGGAAAATCTGTGCTCTTGGGCCGGCGGCGCGCCACCATTTGCAACTCTGATTTCGCTCTCCCTGGTGGCCACCTCGAGTTTGGTTTGTCTTTCCATGAGTTGCAGATTTCTTTAAACTTGTCTTGTTGAATTTTGATTAATTGTTTTACTTCATATAAAATCATATGCTGTCACTTGAAAATAAATTAGATGACCAAGGAGAAAGATAAACTTTTTTTTAAAAAGAAAAAGAAAAAGAAAAAGGAAAATCTTATACTGGTTAAATTTTTTTAAAATATTTGTTTTTGCTTACCTACCCCAACTAGCTTTTTTTTTTTCTTTTTTTTTTCCTCACCTACCCCGAATGGGGTTCGTGTTTGCGAGAGCAGATTGGATGCAATATGAAGGCATTCGCATTTCATGTTTGTTAAAAAATAGCTTGATCCTATAGATCGTACGTGCCGTGTGTGCCATAATTAAAGGGTGGCACACGCAAGACAAAATTTGAAGGGGAAAAAAAAACGAAAAGATAGAAAAGACGATTGAAGGGGAAATTTTTTAATTTCTTTTAATATCATAAAACATTAAATTGAATCATTATCTTTTTTATCTGTCATTTATCTTGCTAAATTGATGGCTGAAAATAAATACATGGGCAAATTATAGGGTTATGTCATCAAAAACTAGCAAGTTAATTCACAAATAGTCAGTGTAAATCACCCTGTTAGCTCATCTTTTGGGTCATATGGAAATACTTTTAGTATTTCATACTGCAATCGACCCACAAATCTATTTTCTTTTAGAATATCAATGCTTGGAAATCTTTAGTAATTAATAGAATCGTTTACACTACGAATTCGTATGGTTTTCAGGTGAGAGCTTTGAAGCTTGTGCTGCAAGAGAAGTGAAGGAGGAAACAGGTCTGGACATTGACAACATAGAGGTCCTTAAAGTAACCAACAACCTGTTCCATGAGGGAGCAAAGCCATCCCATTATATTATGATCCTTTTGCGAGCAGTCCTGGCCAATCCTAACCAGCTGCCTCAAAATCTCGAGCCTGACAAGTGTGATGGCTGGGATTGGTACGAGTGGGACAGCCTCCCAACGCCATTGTTTTGGCCATTAGAGAAGCTGTTGCAAGATGGCTTCCATCCATTTCTGAACGTGTAGTTGCTGCTAGAGGCTTTCTGCTTGCTGTATATTTTTTACTTTCTCAAATGATTGGCTAAGAGATCAAGACTTGAATCAGTCATCGCGTATTAATGCTGGATTTGTCTCCTTTCTCATACTGGGAAAAACTAAGTTTCAATTTCTATTAATGCCACATCTTACTTGGTTCGGTTCTTCTCACTATACATAATGTTTAATCAGCTTTGGTAGACAGGATTTAATTCAAAGATGGGAACCAAATTAACCTTCTGGGATCAATCTCACTATGCATTCATTCCAGACAATCCTCTGATGAACAAATCAACAAGCAAGTCAACTTGATCCCAAGCAGTTTTCGCCTCAGGCCACTAATATGAGCAGCAGTGTTCAAGGGAGGGTGATAATTAAATGGAACATGGAAATGGTGGGTTGCCAGATTACGGCAAACTAAGTTTGTCCCGCCGTGGTTGATTACTCGCACAGACCAACACGTAAAATTCCAACACCAGGCAGCACGAGTTTTGAAAGGTCTCTCTTCCTGATAAATTGAGTGGTCCTTCATGATGCAGAGAGTTTTCCTTTTCATGGTTATCATAACTTTAAGCCATGCTCAGGTTTTCTTTCATTAGTTGTTGTTCTATTGAAGCCGCTAGCGAAGCCTGAAGCTGTGAAAATCCAAAATTGTTCGAGTGAACTATTATCCAGTCCCCTCCTCTAAACTAAATAATTAGCTAACCCCTTTCTATTTAAAACCTCACGCTGTGTCTCTATATTATTACATTCCCTTGTAATTTAGTCCTTATGTTACTTACTTGTTATAATATAATTGTTTTTTCCCCTAGAATACCCCCCTTTTTTCGAGCAAGTTTTTCCAAACCTACCCACTACAAATAAAACTAGAAGGGCATTTTGAAAGGGTGGCATGGGAGTTTTGAAAAAAGATTGACGATCACTTTCAATCAATGACTGATTTGTGATCTTCGAAATAAAAAATACCAGCATGGTAGATTATAAAAAAATACAGGGACTCAATTAAAATTTGCTCCAAATTATTCAAGGGAGCACGGGCACGCAGGCTAAACCACCAGTGGGATAGCATCTCACCAGTTTACTACACAAGTAGTCGTTCAGTTCTTACCACAACTCCATCTGAATTTGGTACTGATCCATATAGAATATTTGATCATAAAAAGTCAAGAACTATCCAATCAGAATGAACTATGGACATTTATCTCAGTAGCGTTTTGGTGGTTTAGCTATTTCTTTCACTTAAGTCCATCTTGTGGCGACCAAACCCTCCTTTTTTTCAGTTTTATTCCATGATGAGGTCCTTTTTCGAGCGATAGCTCGATAGTTGTCAAAGGAAATTGTGACTAGGTATCTAAATCTGGACCACATTAAAGTTGTTGGGTTATAGATCATAGTTAGCTGATCCGTGGTTTGGTCGGCACCATGGAATCAAACAAAAGAGAAGGTTAGATTTTGCTATATGAAACCATGAATTTGAAGGTTCAAGACTAAGGTTGTTTTTTATTTATTTTATTTAAAAAAAAACAGAAGATTCGAGGTCTAATGTTATCTATCCAGTAAAAAAATAAATAATCAAGGCACAGGCATCTGGCTCTGCAACATGTTTCATGTGGATGATCAGTAGACTAATAATGCAAACTGAGAATTTATCAAGATTGGACTTTGGAGATACTGTCCATCACATGTAGAACATATAATTCAAGCAAGTCAGACAAAATTCTCAAATGTCTTTATGCAGCACCTAGGGATCCTTTCTTTTTACTCCCTAAAATTCAACACAGGAAGATAATCATGGAAGCCACCCTATCCGTCCATCACATCCTTTTCTATTATAAATACTGATTACGTTAACTGTGATTTGATGCCGCTTAGATTAAAAAAAAAATAATGGGGTAAAAAAATAAAAAATGAAACTTTTAAATTTATTTTTTTAAAAATTCTAATTAAAAATTAAAAATTCTATAAAAACTATTTTTGTCAATAAATTAATGAGTCTATTCAATACGTCTAGTTGTAGATCAAATAATTTTTTTCAGCATAAAAAAATTAATATATAGATATTATTGATATGTTTTCTTATATCAAGTAAAATATATAACCATGAATTCTTATATCAAGTAAAATATATAAGCACGGATCATTAAATTGATGCTTTTATGTGATAAAATATAATAAAAATAATATATATTAATAAAATATATAAAATCTCAAGTTAATTAAATGCAAGCCTAACAAAATAAAAAAGTAAAATTCATAGCTAAATAAAATATTAAGTGATAAAATTAAATCAAAAAATCAATAAAAAATATTAATTAAAAGAATTACAACTAAATTCATTATAGAAATCAACTAAAATTAAATATTTTAAAAAAATTTAAATGAAATTAAATATTTAGGGGTTATAGAAATCAACTAAAATTAAATATTAAAAAAAATTAAATGAAATTAAATATTTAAAGATGTAATTAAATAAAATTAAAAAATTAAAACTATAGTTCGTACCAAACTTGTCATCAAAATTCAAAATGATGAAACGGAAGAAAAACAAATAAATCTAGCTCTTGGTGATGACCGGATCACTTTGGCAACGATCCTTAATAATGCAAGCTCCTGGAGAGTGGACTAATAATCATCACCATCATGTGAAGGTTCTTGGTGGATTGCTTTTGGATCTTATCATGAAGTCTGTGCGTATAAAGCTGAACCTGTGATTTATTTATGTTACCTTCCGTCTCCAGTATTCTCCAATTCTCTACAGAACACATGTGAGCTATCATTGACTCATCTGCAGTTTTGCAGATAATGTAGACTTAAACCTTCCAGATTATCTAATCTTTTTCTTAAAAAGAAAAGGAAAAGTATAGGCTGAACTGGTAGAACAACGCTCTTCCAAAAATGGAAATCAGAGTTCTGACATTGTTGTTTCATTGGTTTCCAGACTTGCAAAATCAAACGTGTTTGGTGATATATAGGTGCAACTGAAAGTGATTTTTCAAAATATTCCTGGATTGGAGAATATTTTTAATATTGATTTTTTTAAAAAAAATTATGTTCTTATTATCTTTATATTGGAGTTATTTAAAAATACGTGGTAAACATGAATTTAACTGAAAAGCACTTATTTAGCATTGAAAACATATAATGTCGAAGCAATATTGCCAGGGTGAGTAAATTAACCAGCTATCTGAAATATTCCTTCAAATTAACTTGAATTTTTGTTTATTTGAATGATCTACTGAGTTTTTTTTTATAATTTTAATTGTTTTTTTAAAATAATTTTGTTTTTTTTTAATACAAACATGAACCAAACTAAACTGAAAAAGTCCACTGTGAATTAAAAACGCATTTACCTGCACAAAGTAATAGAACTGAAAAACTCAGAAATTAAATTAAATATTTTCAACGAGGTTGAATTTTTGACCTTTTGAACCGCTGATCACCTTATCCCTGAATATGGCTGCACATGTCAGTACTTCTTGGTTTTATAGGCAGTATTCGAGAGAATCAGCGTAGGAAGATCATAGGCTTTATGACACCTTAGAAACACTTGTTACATCGAGTCATTGGGATAATAATCATTCCCGCGGCACGAAAAGTAAGAGTTCTCTTGGATTCTAACTTAATAATAATAATAATAATAAATATTCTGTAAAAAAATATTTTTAAAATAAACAGTATAAAAAGTAGCTTAAAACATGTATGATAATTGCTTTGACAATATGTGATGATTATTGCTTTGATACTGTGTGAGAGAGGAAAGAATGACAATATGTGAATATGTGATGATTGTTGCTTTGATACTGTGTGAGAGAGGAAAGAAAAGAAAACAGAAATGAAAAAAAATAGAGATATCAGAACTTTAATAATAATAATATGATATTATTAAAAAATATTTGATAATATAATTTTTTTTATTGATGATTAAAGTAGGTAATTTTTTATTGGTGATTAAAGTAGGTTGCGTTAGGGTTCTAAAAAAAAGAGTCAATGTTTTTTTTTATAATTTAAGAGATCCATTCCGTTTACTATTTATAATATTTTTTGATATTATTAAATTTATTTTATTAAAATATTTTTAATAACACTAATAATGTCATCATCATAGTTTTGATATGCTTCTAATATTATTTTTTTTTGTTTTCTCTCCTCTCCTATAATTTGTGAAGAAATAAAATAAAATAAAATAAAATAACTCAAAAAACAGTAAAAGCACATAAAAAATGTCGGGGTTTGTTTTTTTTGATAATTTGTATGGTTTATTTCAATTATTGTTGATGATTTTTTTTAATATTATTAAATTTATTTCATTAAAATCTTTTCAATGATAACAGTAGTATTTACATTAAAATTTTAATATGCATATGAGGTTTTTCTTCTTTTTTTCTTTTTCTGTTCTTTCTATTTATTTTTTTATTAAATTTTATGTCCATAAGTTTTAGCATTTAATAGGATAGCATATAACAATTATAACTCACGAATCATAAATATCTTCTATAACTCTATAAATCGTCTTATTTACATGAATCTTTTTTTAAACTGGGTTATTTTATCTATTTTTTTTTTACTATTCTATAATCCGTTGCTGGCTCTCATGAGTACAAGGGCACCGTGCTTTGGAGCGAGTTGTGGAAGGATGAAAGCACTACAAGCCCACATGGTTGGGACCTGGGATGGCCATGGTGGGTACGGTTGGTGTCGCTTTACCTTGTCCTTAAAACTGTTTCCAATGCAAGTCAGAGTAATCAGTCAAGCGACTCAAGCCTCTCTCTCTTTCTATCCCACACCCCCGCCTTATCTCTAGCTTCAACATCCACGCATTGAAGAAGTAACACCACCCATCGTCTACATCAGGCTCCACTGTCCCCCCACCAATTTAAAAAATCTCCTCTCATGTCTATTTCCACCTTCCTTTCCTCACTGTTCTTGTCTCCATTCTCTTCCAATTCTAGTTAGGTGGGGCTGTTCACCTTCCTTTTTGTCAGGATTCTCTTCTCTAGTCCCTCTTAGTCCCACAAGGCTGACAAAAATAAAGAAATAGAAGTAAACAATAAGAGAACTCACCCTACGTA